GCCCTTTAGTTGACTTCGGGCTTCACAGGAAGGAAGAGGATCACCAAAGTGAAAAAAGTCGAGAGAGAGAGACAGAATAATGATTCACAGACGTAAATGAGACAGACAGACAAAGGCAGAAGAAAGGTGAGGCGAGTACTGTGGAATAAGTCGAATATGAAATGTAGTGAGGTCTTGGTAGTTTGAAGTCAGAAGTCAACTGCCGGTTAATAGACTTTTTGCCCTATGAGTATACGTTGCCCAGGGTGTACCACGTGGAGGTAAGTCTATCGCACACCCCGACTAAATGATTGTAAAAAATGGGAAATTACTTTAGCAACATTCTCATTAATAAGCAAATTTATCAGTGGAATCATTTGAGTGCCAAATGATCTACACATTCACCAATTTTTTTATCTTTGAGAACATTAAGCAAACGCATTCAGTACTTATCGTCTACTCAAAGTTATTTTGAAAGGTAAATCAAATTCTACATATTCGTTTTTGGGGTTTCGTTCACTAATTTTGTTAAACTAAAATATGATCGCACATAAGCGTTCTACCGTGTTAATTATAGAACGCGGGAAACACTCTTCTGTTTCCCCCCTTTCGAATTTTTTTCACTTTGATGTTCCTTCCCCTCTGTGATGCCCGAAGTCAACTCAAGTGCTAATGATAACTACCATAAAGCCTACCATTTGAGATAAATAAATAAATTATAGAACGCAGCACTACCTTTGAACTGGAGCAAGTGATTGCCGAAATTTTCGATGTGCCCGATGACTTGGCACTTCCTTAAACTTTATTTTCAAGAAATTTCTGACCCTCTTGCGATATTAACACGACTGGTTAGTTTATAAGAGCCTACAACATCACGTGGTAAATAAAGCACTTGGAGATACGCTTTTCACTAAAAACTTGAAATTGGAAATGCTTTTTTAGAATTATCAAATAAATCTTCTTTCTTTACTCCTAGTGGATTAAAACACGAAGTTAAGTTATATCGATTTTTACTCTAAGTAAATTTATTATTCGAGAGTATGAAAACTTCGGCATAGGTTACTATAGAAAGCCAAACCTGCAAAAAATGGCCTTACTAAAACACCGAAAACCTTAATGCCTATCGTCACACAATCCTACAATTTTTGTTTAAAATACAAACGCGCATTTTATTTAATTCTATAATTTACTTAAGTCCGAAAAATAAATCTATCGATTTTTGCCAATGCTTCTTTAATCAAAATGGCTATAATTTACTAAGTTAACAGTTGTATAAATCAAAATTCTCAAATCACAGAAGGAACAGCCTATAATGAGCCGAATTTAGAATTTAAACTCATAAATATAGCATTAATTCTTAATTATCCCTGCTTAAACATGTGTATGTTCCTTAGGACATTAAGTTTTCTCCATCATCAGAATATAATCTTTTACGACAATCGTTGTCACCTTTGTGAATGTAAACAGCTCAGACCTGTGGCTCAATAAGCTGTCTGTTTCTTGTTAATAAATAAAAGCTATTAAATAGGCTTGGATACAAAGGAAAAAGGCGGCTTCTTGAAAAAATCCCTACTTGATATGACGACATCCGTGAGTCTAGATAATTGAAAATCGAGTACACAATAGTTAGAGCCCTTGAGCTTCGCTCCCAGAGCTACGAAAAGTCAACTTGGCTTCTCAATACAGTTTACTTATCTCCCTGTTTTGCTTGCAGAAAGTCGAGTCCACAGTGTCTCCGAATCTGCGGTATTTGATGAATCTGATACGACAGCATTGAGTCCACGGGAGCAGAGAGCACTAAGAAGGAAGGAGAAGTCTCGGTTGGCAGCCAAATTGCGACGAAATCAGGAAAGCAATATTCTCTCCTGCCTTCTGCAAGCTCTACCTGTTTCCCTAACCGATCCCTCCGCAAATTCTGATGGAAATAGTACTAGTAAATCTCCCTCAGGATTGAATTTGGAGAAATCCGGAGTAATACGAATGGCAGGACAGACACTCTTTCTCTATAACTCCCTGTCACGAGGTACGTTGGACACAATTTAATTCCAGTTAATGTGCATTCATTTTAACGTACCATTGATGGGTAAAGTTTACTGAAATCGCACCAGTTATCGCGGTACTTTCATGCGATTTGGTAATTAGGACTTACGCTTATGCAATTTTCTCGCTTGAATTACTTTAAGAGTAAATCAGAAAAAGGGCCTGTCGTATTTCACCTTTTTGAATTCAGCTTCTACTTCCTTCCAACTTTTAAGGTAATATGAATCACTGCCATAGTGTACACATTCTTGAGGTTATAAGGCTTTCACTAGGTTTATTCGAGTTTAGGGGTAGAAGGACCATAGTCAGGATCATAGTCTGGTAATTTTACTCTAATTTAACTTATTTGATTTGAGGAACAACTTAAATATCTTTAGAAGATAGAGGTCTCATTGCATTCTTATGCAATATTCAATCTTAACGAGTTGAGCGTTCATTACGGGAGGGTTGTGTATAAACGGTTGGAGAGGTATTGGCACATCAGCCAACGTGATTGTCTGCATTGTCATGATTAACGAGTTTGATGCCCTATTAATATGCCAACCGCGTTGGTATAAGGTCTAGTTAATACAAAGAAGGTAGGAACTCCTGCTTCTCGCCAAAATATTTATTTATATCAAATGGGAGGCGTCTTGATGGTTATCATTAACCCTTTAGGTGACTTCAGGCTTCACAGAGGGGAACAAACATCAAATTGAAAAATGTCGAAAGGGGAGGGGAGGGAAGAGAAGAGTGTTTCAAAGATGTAAGAGACAAACACAAAGGTAGAAAAAAGGTGAGGCGAGTACTGTGGAAATATTCGAATATGGCATAGAGTGAGGTGATGGTAGTTTGAAGTGAGAAGTCAATTGCCAGTTAATAGACTTTTTTGCCGTATGAATATACGTTGCCCAGGGTGCACTACGTGGAGGTAAGTCTATCGCACACCCCCTCGTTAAAATATAAGCCCGATGTTTGAAAGCTCTAGCCTAAATGGGTTTGAAAATAACTGACAATTTTCAATTTAGGGCACATTCTATCCACCTTACCCATATTGTCTTTAGCATGGTAATAATAATAATAATAGGAAACAATTGCTGAGCCCTAAACTTGCATTCCGCTTACTCCATGTTAGGAAGTTATCTATCGAAGTAATAAATTATTTAAGATGATTATGCTACAACTCGATAATAAGCAAAGTAGCTAGTTCTCCGTTAATGTAATTGTATCATGAAGTCATTTGATTAATTCGAAAGTGGAAATTCCACTCATATTTATTACCCTGCGCTAGTCTGATAACATCTTCTCACCTACGTAAAAAGTCGGTGTCTTGAAAACCGATAAAGGCAAAAAAGCATATTTGAGCTCAGTGCATTAAAGTGTGTTCGTTGCTTCATTGAGGGTATTGACTGTGAAAACAACATCCCATTTTGTAAAACCTTACCTCAGGAAAATCTTTTCAAGACTTACTTGACTGGAATATGTTTCAGTGTAGACTAATTTTCTTCCGTCTTGATTGAGTTTGTCCCAATTTAATTACTCTATGACTCTGCTTTGGCATTACTTCTAATGTTAGAGTCATTCGCTCGCTGTCTTCAGTAAAACGGTTCAATGCGACGGGTAGTTGCATTTCAATTAAACGCCTGGTAACGAAACATTAAACACTTATCAGCTGACAAGCGACTAATAAAAGGCAGACAATTAGTGTAATACCGAAATCAATTCTGTTTAACGGAAAGCGCGCCTCTCTTGGCTAAAACATTTATATCAAATGGACGGCTTTATGATAGCTATCATTAGCCCTTTAGTTGACTTCGTGCTTCACAGAGAGGAGGAACATTAAATTTACAAAAAGTCGAGAGGGGGGAACAGAAGAGTAATTCACAGATGTAAAAGAGACAG